CCCTGGACGGGTCGCAAGTCCATCACAGGGCCACATAGAGACAAACAACCATTCACTCTCTCATTCACACCTAGGGACAATTTAGAGTTACCAATCAGCCTAACATGCATGTTTTTGGTCTGTGGGAGGAAACCGGAGCACCCGGAGAAAACCCACGCATGCACGGAGAGAACATGCAAACTCCACCCAGAAAGGCCCCTGGACCGGGGTTTGAACCAGGGACTTGCTCGCTGAGAGGCAGCAGCTCTACCAGTTGCGCCACCGTGCTGCCCGTAACTGGGACCCTGTGTAAATAATTTCGCTCCACCACATGTACCACATGAGGTGCGAATGACAATAAAGAAACTCTGACTCTGACTCTGACTTATTAATCTCTAAAAGTACAGTTTATACAAAAGCTTAAATTTTGACGTTTGGAAGATATTGGTGGTTTAAGGCATGCAGCTTTCTCTGCACAACAATTTTTATTTTACTTATTGTGTTCTTTGACATGATTTTTAAAATCTCTAAATAGGCCTCCATCAGATCTGTTTTCCTTAAAACAAAATTGGTCATTTTTGATTGTATGTATTCAGACATAAAATTTATACATAAAATAACCTCAGCATAGCTGTGAGACATGTCAATACCAACTGGCTTTAATGGCAACAAAGCTCTCAAATTATGCAAATTAATTAAATAAATAAATAAATAAATAAATAAAAATACAATAAAGTTAAATCAACTTTAACTTAATTCAGGGTTGTACAAAATAAAACTCTCCTTCATGTACACTTCTACTTCATATCTTCTATGTGAAACAGCCATGTAAACATTTAGCTACTGTTAGAATTTAGGAAGCAGACTTACCTCTGACTTTATAAGATCAGCTCGATTTATGAATGCTGCAGACGATGGACTCTCCAAATCAGTTGTAAAGTTTTCTCTGGCAGACCTAAACCTCAGCCGCCTTGTTGTTATTGCCTCTGCAGTGGTTGTGGTTGTAGTGGTGGTGCTTGTTGCTGTTGCTCCTGGTTTAGACGTTGTTGTAGTGGGAACAACATTTGTAGCAGATGAAGCGTTGGTAGCTAGACTGATTGCAGTATTGGCAGCATTTGTTGCACCTATAGGTGTTGTAGCTGTGACACCTAAAGTTGTATTTGCTACTATGCTAGTTGATGTTCCTGCAGTTGTATTTCCAGTAATCGTAGCATTTGAAGTGGGGGTTGCAGTTGTTACAGGCACAACTGTAAAGACAAGAATAAAATATAAACTGAAATGATGCTGTCAAGAAAACTTCTGCACTTTTTTAAAAAACTAACAAAGGATAACAAAAATTGGTAGAAGGTTAAATAACAAATTACCATACCGTACCATACCACTTTATTTATAAAGCACTTAAAACAGCTACAAGGCCAACCAAAGTGCTGTACAGACAGAACAACAGGTAACACAAAGCAATATAGAAAATGAGGTAAATCAGAATATAGACATAAAAATGATGCAGATAACGACGACAAACCAGTGTGGAGCATACAGGATCTCAAAACAGATCATCTGGTGTTGAAAGCCACCGAATAGTAGTGAGTTTTTAAACGGGACTTGAAAACCGAGAGGGAGGGGGCCTGTCTGACAAGCAGAGGTAACTCGTTTCAGAGTCTTGGTCCTGCTACAGAGAAGGCCCTGTCACCTCTGCGCTTAAGACGAGTTCCTGGAACTGTGAGGAGCAACTGGTCTGCTGACCTCAGGGAGCATGGTGGGACATATGGTTGTAGCAGATTAGAGAGATGGGGGAGGGGGGGCGGCACTGTTCAGTGATTTGTAGACATACATGAGTATTTTGAACAGGATTCGAAAGTGAACCAGTAACCAGTGCAGTGAGGCCAAAACTGGTGTAATGCGCTCTCTTTTGCCTGTACTGGTTAAAAACCGGGCTGCTGCAAATTAAAGCACATTTCTTTGCACTGAACATGAATAAGTGATACAATATTTATGCCGTTAATAATAAATATAAATAACTATCACATGACTTGAAAATAAAAATCCAAAATATACTTCTAAGCTGCTTCCTTTACATTGGAATTAATTTTATCAGGACAGAAACAACAAAAAAAGCTATGTAAAAAGTAATTGGAATTAGCAAAAATTTGGTTATAACATTGTTTACAAAGTGAAATACAACAAACAGTTTATAAAGAAAAAATAAAGGGGAAGTGAAGATAACGCTGAGATTGTCATCATTGTATGTTCTCATACAATAACAAAATTAGTTCTATGCATTTAACCCATCACACCTGAGATACAGCCAGGTGGAGCAGTGGGCAGCTATGTAAGCGCCCAGGGAGCATATAGAGATTGAATGCCTTGCTCAGAGACACCATGACATGCAGAGATGGCTGGGAGTCGAAAGATGGCTGGGAGAGGTGACTTTCTGGTCCCGAGTTGGCTGCCCTGCCTCTACTCCATCTCAACACCCGTAACAGAAAATCCCACAGATTAAAACCAGACAAAAACTTTGTGAAGGCCTACATTTTTTCGTTTTAATGAAGTATTTGTTCACTTCTTAACTTACCTTCTACTCTGATGGAGCTGGGCTGAAAGGTAACGTTGTAAGTGACATTGGTAGCAGTCACAGCATCTACCAGAGTTTGTTGAACTTCGGCAGCTGGTGGGATTTGAGCAGCTGGTGTGGTTTTATTAAACTCTACCTCCACATCTGCTTCAGTTCCATTCACTTGTACTAAGAGTATGCCTGGCCTACAAGAAAAATAAAAATAAAAACATAAAAATTGTGGAAACATGCATAGAAAATATATGATTGAAATGCCAAATTTGTTTTGTGTAACATTGCTTTATCTGATTAACAGGGCTTAATTTGTAAACTGGTTGATGCCGGAACGTAAATAGTGGGCAGGGTGGCAGTGGTGGCGGGGAAGGGGGGGGTGGGTCCTCCCCCAGAAATTTTTTAATAAAGTAGATGCAATTTCCTGCATTTTGGTGTATTTTACCGGGTTGTTAAAAATCTATGTTTACCTACACTTGTAAACACTCCATTTCTGTCAAGCTTCCTACCCCATCTCCCCTTAAATGACGATTTCGAGCCCGACTCCTCCGTCTGTTCATTTTTTTTATTTTTCCCCCCATGTCCTGTCCAGCATTGTGGCACTCAGAATTGTTGTCTGGGTGTCAAGGTGAGGCCCAACAGATTTACTTTCACAAGCAGAGCATTACGGCTGGCCATAATGCTCCACTTGATATATAAATAAACTTTATTAGAATTGGCTTTGGGTTTGTTTCAGATGTAATGGACACAGGGATGAAAAACAAAGGAGAAAATGAAGGCAAAAAGTGGGAAAAGGGTTTAAATGGAAAAAAAGGAGATAGGAGTAGAGAAGAGTGAGGTATAGAGAGAACACACACAGAACACCTCCTGCCAAAGTAGGGGAGTTCCTGGATCCTGTTCCGGCAAATCTGGCTCAAATTAAGCCCTGCTGATTACAGATGATAAATATAAAAAATATCAACATCACTTGATTTGGAAAAATGAACCAAATAGGAATATAAGAAGCAAAAACTTACCTAAACGCAAGGACAAAACAATGAACATACATTAGTCCATATTTAGGACGATAGATGGTGTCATACTGTGGGAAATATTGTGAAAAACATAGGATTAAAATAAATATTTAAAATAATATAGGTGCCATGCAGTGTTGCCAGATAGAGTTGAGGTTTTCCAGCCCAGAAATCTGTTAAAATCCACCACATCACACATAAACCTGCCCAATCAGTATATTGTTACAGTATATTTACTATTTGAAAATGAACGCACATCAGCACAAGCCAAGGTTATTATGTGGCAAAATGCAACAATCCGACAAAAATCTTCCCAGAGTTTCCAACAAAAACAGAATGAAAACCGCCCAATCTGGCAACACTGGTGCCATGTGTACAACTTTACAATCATTTCTCAAAATAACACTTACCGTATCACACACTCGTCTTTCAAGATCTTTAAACTCTTGGCTTCTAGGATCATGGAGTTGCTCAACAAACGATACAACAATAGTTGCTGCAACAACATACACTTGAGAAGGAGCCTGAGTTGTGGTTATTATAGCAGTTATGGAAGGACTGGTGGAAGCCGTGGTTGCTGTTGTTGCACCTGGTTTATATGTTAATGAAGTGAGAACTACATCTGTAGCAGAAGAACCTGTAGTTGTAAAATAGGTTGCTGTATTTGTAGGAGATGACGCTGTAGTTGTAGCATTGGTTTCTGTATTTGTAGCAGATGAAGCTGTAGATATAGCATTGGTTGCTGTATTTGTTGGAGATGAAGCTTTGGTTGAAGCATTGGTTACTATATTTGAAATAGATGAAGCTGTGGTTGTAGCATTGGTTGCTGTATTTGAAGCAGATGAAGCTGTGGTTGTAGCATTGGTTGCCATATTTGTAGCAG